TTTTTTTTTTTTTTTTTTCCCTTTTCTTTTTTTTTTTCCGGCTTTATTGTTTCGTTTCGTTTTGTTCATCCCCCCCCTGCCTTCCCCACCCCCTGTTATTGTTGTTGGCTGGTTTTCTTTTCTTGGCTGGAAGCCTAAAAGTAGTCTAAGTTGCGCAACGTTGGTTATCGCAAATCCTTTTCGTCCGGATGCCAACTTTCCGAGAGAACCACCTGCTAAACTAAGAAGTAGAAAAAGGAAAGGAGTGGCGAGCAGAAGAGAGCTGAACTAGGCACTAAGTTTTGCTAAATATCCTTGACACCCATGTACTTTAGGTACCTATGCATTGTACTGTACATGCAAGCTACTTTTATGATACGAAGATTTCGGGGCGTTGCGGAGACCCTTGAAACACGGAGGCTGTGGAAAACATGATAGAAGCCGCGGCAGCAGGGATCATGGAAGCAAAGGCCAGATCAAGGCACGGGAACAGACGTAAAACGGCAGCATGGGAGTTTGGGCAAGGCAATTTCGAGTCAGTTTTATGGTTACTGGCTTGTGATTATGTCTGTTTTGACTTTATTTACTCTTTTAATTTGACAGGAGGTCCCAGTGTGTACCCAGGTACTGTACATGATACGTACCGTGAAAGTTGGCAGTGGGTTGGGAAGCTCAGCTGGACCCATCAATGATTACGACCACGGTTTTGATGGGATTACGGACGGGCGAGCTTGATCACTTGCTGGACAAGGAAGTCAAAAGAAAAAAAAAAGGGGGGGGGGGGGGGGGCGTGTTTAGGCTAGATGAATTATTGTTTTGCTGCATTGGTACTAAACTGGCTAGTAATGACGACAATGGTCGACGTTGGCAGATTTGAAGGAAAACGGTTAGGAAGTTGTGGCGGACGGACCGGGCAATTTTTGGCAGCGTTCGGGGGATTGGGGGGGGCCATGGATGGAGGGAAGATGGAAAAGACGATTCCCGGACTAGAAACGCCTGCAGGCTTGCACGGGAAAGGTTGAGAAATATCGGTAGGCGGCGATGCTACTGTGCCGTGCCAGACGGGTTAGCAGTAGGAGAAAAAGAGGAGAGGTGGCTTACAGGTTAGACGGTGGTGGTGTTGGTGGTGGTGGTGGCACTAGGCAGATCTCTCTGGGGTTTGGATTGAATCGCCGTCATCGTCCAATTCGCTCTACCTGCGCAGTACTGAGACACTCTAGCTGGATTGGGCGCTAGAACGAGTATCGCCGCGGTACCTTGAGCTCCAGCTTTGCAGGAAACCGGGAATCTCGACGCCGTTGCCCCGTGCGCTCCGCCGCGGCCAATCACGCGCGCCCCCTGCAGCGCGCCCCCACCTTCGGCAGCGGATCTGTCAAGGGCTGAGGGCAAGGCTTCGGGACATGCGTCCGAACAGCTTCGGCTTTTGCTAGATGCACGCCTTTGGAGGGTGTGTGTGTTGTGTGTTGTCTTGTTTGTCTTGGATTGTATAGTGCCTGGTCCTGGTCGAACCCTTTTTTTTTTTTTTTTTGCTGGCTGGCTGGCTGTTGACTCTTCGTTTCTCGCTCCTCCTGTGCCCGATATGGCGGCGCTTGGGCATTACACCGCAGCACTTTGCCCATGTCTAGCACTGTCCTTGTTCTTATTTTTTTTTTTTTTTGTGTGTGTTTGTTGACATCGACGTCTTGTCTTGGGTGCTTTTCCATGTCTTTCTGTGTCGTCCTAGCCATGCGTACCTTGGGTATTACTAGGAGTAGTACGGAGTACATGTACTTAGATCCCTGTTACTGCGGGTGCTGGCTGCGCTAAACCACGATGGAGATACGATGTTATGCGATGCGATGCGATGCGATGCAATGCGATATAAAAAGCGATAGAGATTGCCTAGCTAAAAAAAAAAATTATCGAGGGAACAAGCACGAAAAACCGTTTTGACGAGGCCCGCCTGGCCGTCCTCCCCGCTATAGTTTAGGGGCTGGCTGGCGAAAAAAAAAANAAAAAAAAAATCAAAAAAAAATCGAGGCCCTTCTTTTTCACCGTCGCGCCGTTCGGGGAAGCTTGCAGCTACCGAGCACGCCAGTCCCAATCACCGGCATGGCCCGCCTTTTTTTTTTCTACCGAGGGATAGACGGGTAGACAGACCTGAAGGAGTCTAAGGAAATATGTCATAATGCCAAGAACGTATACCATTGCGACGCTGCTCTGAGAAGGAATGCCCAGGGGGGGGGGGGGGG